TACTTTGATGACCATTTGGTTCATCAGTACCCTTCGCCTGATCAACTATCTTATTTAAAATAATTCCAGCATTTGTCGTAATACTCACTTGTTCGGTTGTATTCACATTTACGTCGGTATTTAATATATCCGGTCTATCTAACAAATCTAATGCTTCTTCTAATGGAATAAGTTCATCTTCCGGCGTATAATCTGTTCTAGTATTTTGTGAAATCTTTTCTATTTGAGGATCTGGACTTCTCTTCGTTATAGTCTCATCTGAGATCTCTCGGCAACCGGTTATCGTATTATCTTCGACATCGGAATCAGCAACCGAACTATCTTCTCGATATAAATCATCCAATTCTAGGATACGCTCAGATTGATTATCGGCATCGTCATCGCTGTTTCTTTGTTCACCGATTTCCTTTCTCTCGTCGATCACCAATGGATGATCGGACATCTCTGACTCCGATTTTTTATTGTCGATATCGTTCTTAGTATCGATAGTTTCTGTTGTTGTTCGACAATTAGCAGCCCATTCCTCTTCCTCTTCCTGCTCTTCTTCCTCCTCCTCCTGTTGTTGTTGTTGCTCCTGTTGCTGCTCATGTTCCTGTTCCGCCTCGATATCCTGATTTCGATCACCGACAAAGCAATAATTTTCTTCGATTCTTTCGTTCTTATCAACCACCTCTTCGATCTCAACATCCTTTTTACACTCTTCTTAACCCGACGACGTCTTTTTGATTCATAGTTAACCTCGTCGTCCTCGAATTCGCTCTCGGATGACGTCGAAAGTTCAGCGAATAAATTCTGTTTACCCTTGGAACATGTACGCTGACTCTTAGAAATGCCCACACCAACGTCCTCGGTTTTAGCAGCCGTTCTATACTCGTCCGAACTATCATTTTCGTACCAGGCATTTCTTGGCTTCTTTTTCGAATTTCTATTCTTTTTCTTAAATTTCGTATGCTTTTGTTGATCGACGGATCGTGGCTTAGGTTTTTGTTTTCTTTCTACGAACTCATCCATCGGTCCAGTGATCCTTTGACGTTGTTGCTGTTGTTTTTGCTGTTGCTGATGATGATTATGCTGATGTTGTTGTAGTTGTTGTTGTTGTTGTTGTTGTTGTTGTTGATGATGATGATGATGATGATGTTGATCTTCGCTTTGAAACGATTTCAATGCACCTTTCGTCTTTGGCGCGAATTTCTCCATTTCTTTAAACTTTCGATCAATCATAGATTCCAATCTTGTACCGAGAACATCTCCAGTTTTTCCATTTTCCAAACTATCGCCGATAGCTTTTGATAATAGGCCGGCTACGTCGACTTCCTTCGTTCTAAGACAACTTACTTCATAACTTTTTTCAACTTTCGTTCTATAGGACATAACACCACCGAAAGCTGGTTCCATTTGACTTTCATCTTCGTCAAAATCATAAATGTCTTTGACCTTTTCAGATCTAAGGGCATCGTCCTTAGATTCAAAACCATCCCGACGTTTTTTCCTTTCGGCTAATCCACTCTGATCGTTTCTTCTTATCAATGGGAATTCTGGACGTTTCTTCGTTTTCTTTGACTTTCGTTGTTGTCTCTGCGTTGTATTTAATTCACGTAACGCAGCTTCAGCTTTTGATCTTTCTTGGTGCCTTCGCTCATTCATCTCTTTTTTCCTTTCGAACAATTCCTTTATCGGATTTCTTGTTTTTTTCGGTTGTAGATCCTTCCCCAATGTAACAGATATCGTCTCCTGGATCGTATCCTTTGCTGGCACGGCGACCTTCGTCTGTCGATCTTCTGGCGAAGTAGACCTTGGTGCACGTGCACAAGCTAACTCTGCGAGTACCTTCATCGGGGTCGAACCACTACGAATAAGGAGATGCATGTATATATGTATATTATCAATGAATGTTGATCCAATATAGTAAGATAAATTTTTATTAATCAATTGGATAAGTCAACAATTATAAGAATATGTAAAAAAAAAAAAAAGAAGAAAAAGAAAAGAAAGAAGAAAAATAATTTCGTCGTACGATAGGGAAGAAAGAATATACACATATGTATATATATATGTATATGTATATAAGAGAAAATGTTCTACTCACTTGTGATCATGTTTGCCGTTATTGTGCAATAAATTTGAAAGAGCTTTATCTAAGAGACCGCCCAAGGCGGAATTCATTTTGCTTTTAAATCCTGATGCATCTAAGTTTGTTTTAGTGCCCGTCTGTCCGTCTTGAACATGATCGATATTGGTGGTATCGTTACGATCCCCGTTCGAGTTGGACAAGTGTCCGTGATCATCGATACGTAAGTAAGGAGCATCGTTGTTCTCCTCGTTGATTTTATTCCGATTACTTAGACGTTGACGTTCGTATCCATCGTCTGTGTTGCTTCCGGATCGTTGTCCAAACGTACTCGCAATAAGATTTTCGCTCTCTCTCATTCGTTGTTGAATCTTGTCGCGGAGCTTGTTGTTATGCTCGAAGGCAACATCAAGACTATCTTCGTATCCAAGATTGTCAGCACGAGAGATGTCTGGGCTTACCGATCTACTAGATTGTTCGCTCTGTACATTGCGAGTTCTACCACTACCGCGTTTGTTATATTCTCTTTCCCGTGTACCATGCATTTCTTCGCCGAGCAACTGAAAATAAATCAGGAATTCTTCAAAGTTATCCTATATCTGTAGCATCTGCGTGTGTGTATATATATATATATATAAAAGATAGAGTATTGATAATCTTTTTAAAATTCGATAAAAAGAAAACAAAAAACAAAAAAAAAAAAGGGGGAAAAAAATATTTACTAACTTGATTAACCGATTCCAAAAGACTTCCAAGACTGTTTTGACTTTCGACGTCCCTCCATCTATCTTTATTGGTCCTATAAAGCTGTATCTGATCTTCCTTCTTATGATAAGAATCCGAATGATCCAGTTTGATCTTTTTCGCACCACGTAACTCGTTCTCCGTTGTAGCTTTCAATCTTGAACAACACTCAACGAAAAGTTCCTCGTCGAAGTTCAAAACCTTACCTTGTCGTGGCTTAGCCGATTCTATTTCCTGTGGTACGTCTAAAGCATTATCTTCGATGGCGTCCGTTGGTGCTATGGTGATAACTTCAGTTCGATCCCTGTGACTCGACGATGGCGATCTAATCAAGACTTTACCGTTAGAAAATACGCTAGGGCTTCTTTTCCTGGTCACATCCAAAGCGAGTTTTCTTTCTTCTTTTTCTATTACTTCTTCTTCTTCTTCTTCTTCTTCTTCTTCTTCCTCTTCTTCCTCTTCCTCCCCTTCCTCTTCCTCTTCTTCTTCTTCTCCATCATTATCATCCTCGTTTTCGCTGTTCGAACTACTTTCCAATGAAGTATCTGGTGTATCACGAGCAAACAAAGGTGACATCCTTCTTTGTTCGCAATTCAGTTCGGTAGTACTATGAACTTCAACGTCATCTACATCGCTATCGTCGTCGCAACTTATTTGTGAACCTCCATCGATACTAGTTAATCTGATTCTTGTATCCTGATTAATCTGTTTAGTCGACGAAACGATTTCATTTTTTCGCACATTTTTCTCCTCATAATCCTCTTCCTCATCATCCTCTTCCTCGTCCTCGTCCTCTTCCTCTTTATTTTCTAGATTTTCTTTTTCTTCTCGTCCTCGGGTATCCATCGTCTTGAAACTTTCATTCTCTCCGAAATCGATCGTACAGATTTTAGATTCATTAATATCGTCATTTCCCAATCTCTTTCCATTTTTTCGAATAATTGATTTATCCATCTCAGAATTCGTAACGGACTGTTTGATCAAACGATCAGCCTTCTTTCTTGAATTTTTCGTTGATCCATCATAATTGATAAACGTTCTATCGTAATCGTGAGAATTATAACCATTGTCTTTAACAATGGAATCGGATTTTGTTGATTTTCTTAACTCGTATGACGTCTCTTTATTCCTTTGCTTATGTATCTTACGTGGAAGTATCTCGTCAAGGCCATTTGAAAATTCGAAAGACCAAGATATCTTCTCTTGTGCCCGTTTCTTACTCAATCTACATCTAGAGTTCGACTCTAACGTCGAAACCTCCTTCTTTTCTACCGTGGATATTATCGAATTATGCGTAGAAATTTCTTCTTGGGTAATACGATGCTTAGTATTGTTTTTAGCTTTCGAATGTTTGTTATTACCTCGACGATAATGTTCCTGTTGCTCCGACGACGAAATCCTTTCCTGTTTGCTATCAGACGATGAATTTCTTCTCTTGACATCTTGTTTACCATTCGTCGTTCGTTTAACCGAACGATGCTTTCTATTATTATCGTAATCAATATTCTTCATTTCCAATGGTTCACGTGATATTTTCAACGGTACGACGTTACAGCCAACATTAGATCCCGCCGATTCAAAACCATTTCTAGATCCGTCCGAATCATTTTCCGACTTAGATACCCAATCGTTTAATACCTCTTTAACCTTGTCAGATTTTTCACCGCCGAAAACACGACCAAAAACGCTTTTAACAATTTTATTTTTGTTTTGAGACTCATTAGGACCTTCGTACTCGCTGCCATCGCTGTCGCTCGATAATTCGGTGATTTTCGATCTGGAAATAGTTTTCTTTTTCCTCGTCATACGAGATTTTCTATGCGTCAATTTTTTAATTGACTTATTCGTTCTTAATTTTTTCGTATTACCTCGTGGACTGTCGGTGATCGATGTACGATTGATCTCAGACTTTTTTTCTTCTACGCTTTTATTATTCGACGAAGTCGACGATATTATACGAGATTTTTTATTATCTTTATAATAATCATCCTCCTCGATGGGTGCTATTTCGTCGGCGCTAACATCAACTTCCGTTGTCAACTTTTCATTCGATAATTTTTCTTTCACGGTAATATTGTACTTTTCCATAGTTAACTTCGTATTGTCATGTTCAATCTCTCTGACATTTCCTTCCTTATTAACGATATCGTTGTCGTCATCTTCGACGTCGTCGTCGTCCTCGTCGTCGTCGTCGTCATCGTCGCCATCGACGACATCGTCATCGTTGTCGTTGTTATCGTCAACATCGTTTTCGGATTCGATCGATTTCGATACCATCATTTCATTGTTGGTCCCATTATTTTCCAACAATTCTGTTTTCTTCTTGATCATTAAATTCTCAGAGGTATACTCATTTTTAATTTTCATTTCCTTTTTCCTTTTATTATTCATTTTTATTAAAAATTCAGAAAGCGGTTTATCGTTCAGACTCGACGACGACGATACCTCGTCGTTCTCCGCGATAACATCGAAATTTTTATTTATATAATTACAATTTTCTACGATCGACGTATTATCATTAAATTCATTTTTATTGTTTATCGTTAATGGGGAAACTTTGGCAATTATTTCAACGATCGAATCATCCGTCCGAACGGTGGATAACAATTGATCATTTGTAAATGATTTAGATTCGTTCGTCGTAATAACGATAGGATCGATTATATTCGTTATATCTTTTGAATGATCTATACGTTCGGTCTCAACCTCAGCTACGGATAAATCATTTTGTTCTAATGTCTCGTTAAGATTATTCAACAACATTGATCTTTCATCGATCTCTTCGACGTCATCTCGTTGATAAGATTTCCTATTATAAGATTTCGACGATCTTCGAACGTTTCTTGGGATTAAATTCGTATCGGTATCAATTGAATCAATCGAATTCTCTTTATATTTAATTTTTTCCATTCTCGAAATCGTAACATTTTCTTTTTTCGTAAGATCGATTTCGATTAATTCTAGGTCATTATCTTTCTGAACCAACGATCCATATTCTTCGAAACTTTGGAAATTTTCATTTAATATCTTTTCGGTTGAGCACAGATCATGAGATCGATTATCTTCGTTTTTAGTTTTCGACGTAACAATATCTTTATAATTTACATTCGATAATTCATAGATACGATGATCAATGCCATTATTTTTTTCGATTTCTTTAATTTCTATGGTATCCTTCGTGCTATCCTCTTTTATCCTTTTATCATAATCAATTTTATCGTTTATATTCGATGAAATGGAATATTGATTGGTCTTATCGACTTTAACACTGTCAACTTCGTTATCTAAATAAACATTGTAATTGTCAACAGTATTGTTAGTTTCTTTAACATTAGAGATTGATTCACTTTTCAAACTTTCCTTGAACGTATTAGAATCTTTCGAATTATTAGAAAATTCAATAATCTTTGTCTCTACGTTATTAACGTTAATTTCTTGAAAATCCCTTTCGAAATCGCAATGAATTTTATCAGTTTTGTAGTTGGTGGTACTCGAGGATATGCAAATTTCATCACCAATCTCGTTAACCTTATTCTCATTATCTTTCATAGAATCAAGCTTTGATTGTAATTCTTTCTCAACGTTGGCCCAATTAAAGGACACGTTATTATCAATTTTTTCTTCTTTGTAATCAAGATCGATTTGTTGAAACGAGTTGACATTTTTTATCGTAGACATAATAGCTCGAGGAAAATCCTTTTTAAATAGATCGTCTTCTTTTAAATCGCAAATCATCATTCTCGATTCTTTCTCGTTCGATTTACCATTTAGATTTGATGATGTACGTGCTTCTTGTTCGATCGCAACAACATTATCGAGATTATCTCTTTCGAAAGAATATTGATCATTTTCTTTAAGATCTACGGTTTCATTAATAACTTCAGAATTCCAGGAAGAAGATGTAGGAAGATTTCCTGTATCATTCGTTTCTTTTTTATTAATATCGGAATCTTCATTGACAGATTTACGTTTAATAGTCTCGTTAATAATTAATTCTGGCCCCGGTGTATCCAAGTCCAAATGTTCATCGGCCAAATTTCTCTTTTTCGTTTTGTCTCGTTTTTTATCCAATTTTTTCTTCTTACCGTCATCCTCAATTTTTTTATTTAATTTTTTCAACGGAGTAGACGAGGATTCCGGTTGTATCGGGCTTACGTGATCAGTTAGAACGTACTCATCGTGGCTCATATTTTCCGTTATCTTACAAATTTCTTCGTCCAAAAGTTCGTCCTCCAAGGCTTCTTGATTATTAACCGAATTATCGAAAGAACCAGTAGGTTCCATATTGTTTCGATAATCATTGAAGGTATCCTTTTTCTCGAAACCCGTAATATTTTCATTTATTAAACGTAAATTATCATCGACCGATTCATTCGTGATTTCTTTTTCATCGTTCTCGTCGGGATTAATACGATCGACTTCGTTGTTCGTCAATGTATCCTTACATCTATCATCCTCTCCATCATTTTTAGAATCATTATCGTTTAATTTCTCTTTGTCAGATTTGGTTAATTGTATAAGATGGGATTGGGATTGATTGTGTTTTTTAAGTGAACTCTTTCTTGTAAAGCTCGTCGTACAAACGTCGCAGAAAAATCTCGCGGCCTCTTTCGTTAATTTCTTACGTTTTTCTACGATCAAAATTTCACCTGTTTTAGTATGAACTACGACGAAATTACCAGCCGTACGTTTCTTTGGTGTTTGAAGATCATCCGAGAGCTGACGACCGTCCAAACCAAATTCTGATTCGTTAATAGTTAAAGATTGTTCCGCCAATGAATCTTCTTTATCAGTTTCGCTTTCGTTCTTTTCTTTTTCATCGGTCGTTACGTTGTCCGTCGATTTGACGTTTTCCAACGACGATAAAGTAGATTTTTTTTCATACTCTCGATTCCCATTGACACTTTCAACTATTCGATCGACGTAAGGTAGATCATAAAATATCTCCTCGGAGCTCTCGCTATTTGAGAAATCTTCGCGGAATGAAATATTGTTTTTGGCTTGTCTCTTTGGGATTTGTCTTCTCTCGATGCCGCGCGAATTCGTTCTATTACCGTCTGGCAATTTGGAATAATCTGTAAGAGAACCATCGGTTTCTGGATCGTCGTTAATATTATCCTTATGACTTTTCTTCTTTCTCGTGAAACGTTTTTTTCTTTGAAAAGAAACGGACTCACTTGTACACGAAGATTCGGACAAATTTTCAACATTTTCTATATTATCAAGACATGATGATTCTTCCTCCTCCGAACGTTTACTACGTCTCGACGATCCTCCTCCTCCTCCTCCTCCTCCTCCTCCTCCTCCTGGTCCTCCTGCTTTCGTTGATTTACACGTCGTCGTAACCAACGATGGTGAATCGTTCTCGAGGAAATCCCTGGAATTAGATTTTTCGATTCCGTCGACATAATCACGATCAAATTTAACTTTAGTTTCGGCGTCGGACGATTGATTTTCCGATAAGAATTCCTCTATTATCTCATTAGTACGAGATAACTTTTTTAATTCTTTCGTTTCGACGTTAGTTTCAGAAGAATCCTGCTGACCTGACTCGATGGCAGCGGCAGCTATGGTGGTGGTGGTTGTGGTGATGGTGGTGGTGGTGGTGGTGATGGTGGTGGTGGTGCAATCCGAATCAAGATGTTCGTCCGATTGTTCCTTGCTACGTTTCGACGTACGCTTCTTTGTATGCTGTAACACGTCGCTCACTTCGGGAACTTTGAAGGGTTCCGAAAGGGCGTTGGCATTAACTGGAAAATCAACGACCGACGACGACGACGACGATTCTTCGGTCGAACAACCACGGTCGGCAACCGACGATAACGTTAGTTCCGTCGATGATGGTGTGCAACTTTTCACGGAATGTTCATCGATCGTAGAGTTGACATTTTTCAATTCCTCAAGGGACTTATTCTCGATCGTTTTCTGCCCTGGTAATTCTAAATGTTCGTCTGCTAACGATTTCTTTTTTCTTCCACGTTTTTTCGGAACTTTTGGTGATATCGAAACCGTAGAAGATATTCTTTCATTCGTATCGATGATATCATTTAACATTATCGACGACGAAATCTCTTTTTCTTGTTCATGATTAATAATATTGTTCTCGTATAGTCTCGATATCTCTGGTATTCGCAATATCGTTGGATGTTGTTGTTGTTGTTGTTGTTGTTGTTGTTGTTGTTGTATCGATGTTAATTTTTCTACGTCCTTCTTTACTTCAGATATTTCTGTTCTAACAAAACATGTACCTTCAAAGACATTTGGAATCGACGAATCGCAAGATAAATTATTTTTAACCTCTTCAAATGTTTCCTCATCGGCGTTAACCGATAATACATCGATAACCGAGGACGATGATTTTAATCTCAAGGATTTTCTTCGAGATGTCGAAAGTAACGGGATTTCGTCCTTTTGGGCTCTCGTCTCGCCCGAGGGCGTATCGGATCGATAAACGTTCTCATCAATGAAATCGGAAACGTCCTCGGAGTTTAATTTTCTTTTCGAAAAGCGCCTTCCCATTTGGGGAGGATTTAATTTGCCTTCGGGCTTTCGTTTGTTTTGCTTTCGCGAAAGCAACGCAACGTTTGTTTCTTCTTTATCAATTAAAACATCTTCGAATTTTCTTTCAATTTCTTTAATCGTTCCTTCATCCCGGTTAGTTATCAATTTAGAATCGTCTATTGGTATTATTACTTCTACTTCCTTTAAATTAATTTCTTCAAATTCCTGATTGATATCCGTTTCTGATTTCTTCGTAGTTTCGATAACCGTATCGTTATCAAACTGAATCCCGTTAGAATCATTACCCGAGTTATCTCGTTGAAGTTCAAGATCATTCTCAATAGTTTTTCTCATTTTATCTTGAAATTCTTTTACATCGCCGTTATCAATTAACCTTGTATCGCATTCGATCGTAGAAGACGATGTTTCTAGATTTTCTATCATATCCTGACGTCCTTGCCGATCGTTTTCTGACAATTGTAATTTGTCGGTTTGCGAATCATCCATCGATAATACCTCGACAGGTATACTTTTCTGATCTTTCAATGAGTTAACGTCCAATGATCTTTTCTTAGATTTTCGTTTAGATTTCGAAGATACTTCGAGATTATTCGAATTTTGAAATATTTCATTTTTATCATCGATTTGTTTTAACTCGATCGATAAACAACACTTTGTCACATTATTTTCAACTTCGTTTGTATCGTTTATCGGAATATCGTTCATAAGACTTATAGAAATTTCTTCATGCATAATCGTATTGTCGGTTTTAATATCATTTAATTTATCAGACACTTCAGATTTATTTTCCGATATTACGTGATCCTTAATAACATTGTCGTCCGATCGTTCCTCATCCTGATATTGATTTCGTTCGATAACAGGCTTGTTAAGAACTTCGTTCTTCGAAAATATATCGTTCCTTTTTGTCGCTTCAACGGGTTCAGGATTCTTTTCTATTTTATTTTTTGTAACGACCGATGTACCTTCATAACGTTCGATAACACTCTCTTCAACGATTATCTTAGGCTCTAATAATTTTTCGCTCGTTGCCCCAATAATTTTATTTTCATGCGACGCGTCGGCGTTCTCCAATGTAGGCCCTACTTCGTCGAGTATACTCGTTAATTCGTCGGCAGCTATGTCCAAAAGTGTACCTACTTCGCCTTCGAGTAATGCATCCTTTTGTTTTGCAATTTTCGAAACGATTTTCTCTAAAAAGGAACCCTTGTTCCTAGGTTTTCTTCTCGATAAATCTAAAATAATATCGTTCGTTGGCGAATGTACTTTGGGTGATTTTTCAATTGTTTTAAATTTACAATCATCGGGCTTTAATTGAATTTGTTTCTCGTCGTTTTCGCGTATTTCCTTATCTCCTTCTTTTTTTTCTTCTTCTTTTTGAGATCGATCGATTGTCGAAGAAGAAGACACCATCGAAGAAGATACCGTCGAAGAAGATACCGTAGAAGAAGATACCGTAGAAGAAGATACCGTAGAAGAAGATACTGTAGAAGAAGATACCGTAGAAGAAGATACCGTGGAAGAAGACACCGTCGAAGAAGTCTCATTTTCCGCCATTTTCTCGATATATCCACTATTCACGACGCTACTACTACCAGCTGGCTGTGAAGCATTATTACTTTGAACAACTCCAACGGGATTAACGTTATCGACTGTCGTTTGAACTGTGAGAACGACACTTTGTTGAACTTCAACAGGTATGTTCATACCCTCTGTTAATATGCCAATAACGTTACTCAATGATCTTTTCGATGTTCTTTCACGTTTAGTGCCCCAACACTTTTTTGGTCTTCCCACTCTTGGCTTGTGTGAATTAATTGTCGACGATTCTAAAGAATTTTCTTTACCGCTGTCGATCGAATTTGTCGTTTCCGATTGCAAATGGCTCACATTAAGATTCATCGGGTCAATGTTAATATTTTCTGGAGATTTTTTTGAATCCTTCGACGAAACAGTCCCAATATTTTCTTCCTCATTATTTTTTGTCATTTCTTTTGTATCTTTATCGTGGGACTCATTGGTAATATCAGAAGTTATTGGTGACGGAATGGTAGTGGTGATAATGGTAGTAGTATCTTTAATGTCATCGTTTTGTTTATTGACGATTTGATGATCGACGATTTGATGATCGAAGTTGGATTTGATTCTCCCGCGTCGTTTGCCCAACGATGTGTTCTTCTTTAAGATCACGTCGTTACTCTCATCGGCAATACTATCTTTGTTGTTAGATTCGGATACTTTTTGATCGTCTTTGAGATTTTTCCGATGATTCTCCGATCGTTCTTGATCGTCAGAATCTACGGAATTTTTCTTATCATTTTCTATTTCAGAATTGCACGATGGTGTCGTCGTTTCTGAACATGCAATGACATCTTTGGTTTTCTCGATTTCTTTCAAATTTTTATTATCATCAATATCTTTGATCGCGTCTGTTTTTTCCTCGTTCGTAGAAATAACATTCGTCGATTGTTTCTCTTCGTCCATAGATTTGGGCTTTTCGATAATAACTTTTTTTTCACTATTTCTCGGGGACTTTCTTAAAAAATTATTTTTCTCCTTCTTCGATGTTTTAGACCATGTCTTCGGTACGTCTAACGTTGATTTTCGTGATATTTCCGTTGATAAGCGACTATTAGAATCCTGTTCCTTTGGAATCTTATTGATCTTGGGATTAATCTGAGAATCTGTCAGTCTCGAAGCCGATTGCCGAAGGCTACGTTTCGATGAGATATCTAAGAGGGAGGTAAAGTCGAGCCTAAAAAAATTATAAATATCCTCCCTGGCATTCGCGTGTAAACCTATCAATAGCTTTTTCACTTCGAATGGCATGTCCTTTGTATTAAGAGATTCCATGTCCTGCGAATAGATACCTCGGTCCTGTCGATTTCTTGAATAACTTCTCGTTTCGAAGTTTTTCGACAGATTTGGCTCATCCCTCGTCGTCGAATCGTTCTTCGTACCGTCCGCCGAAGTAGCACGGCACTTTGAACCCCTTGGGACTCTTCTTCCATCCTCCTTCCTTCCATTTTCTTCGACGTTGTTAACGCTTTTCGTGGGAGCACTTTTTCTAGTTCGTATTCTACCCTCTCTGACCACTAACTTGCTCGAACCACTTTGATTTTCCCGTGAACTCAAGGTACCCGACTCGTGTTCGACCTTACGATCGATTATCTTATTGTCACCGGTGATCTTTTTCTTTTTGTACTGTCTCTGTTCTTCCATCTTCGTCGAACATTTTTCAATCGTATCATTAATATTCCCAGAACCTTTGGATATCGTAGGACTATCCCTTTCATTTTCCATATTTTTCATCGAACCACGAAGAATCTTTTGATCGGGATTACTAACGGGTGATAATATAGGTAAATCATTCGTCGATTTTTCGACGTATTCCTCATTGGACGATATCTGTGGTACCGGTTCTAGAGTTGGCATTTTATCACTATCCGACGATAATCTGGTCGTTCTTCTAGGTACCGATTGAACCTCATCGTTATTTTTAATTTTCGTACAACCTTGTGCAAATGATTTCGACGATTTTGACGATTCTATAGGATGATCTTTACCTAATTGCCGTGCCATAGGTGACTTCGTAGTATCCCGTAATAGAATTTTCGATAACGATTGAACGTTCGTCAATTTGTTAGGATTTCTAGCGAATTTTCCATCCTGCGTTCGTAATTGTGATTTAGCTTTAATCGAAGCGTTCAAAGAAGTAACCGGATCAACCGGTCGTTTTCGTTTTGGGGTTATTTGAACGGACGGCGATGATTTATTTTTACTCGTAGAAGGTAAAGTTCTACCAAGAACCATGGTAGATCTATCGGTAGAATCATTTTCAACGTCCAAGATTTTACTCGTTGAAATCGTTTTTATATTCTTCGTACATTTCGCCTCGAACGTGGCCGAATCTTGCAGTCTAATCTGATAGTTGGACGACTTCAAGGTCGTCTTGTTTCTCGCTCTAACTCGTTCGCGTCTCATCGTACTACGATCGACGTTCTCTACGACTGCATTTTTCACCTTTATGTTCCTTTTCTTTCCAAGCACCCTGGGCCGTCCGACCTTCGGTTTATTATTCTCTCTAACAGCACCACCACCTTCCATCTCCTCTTTTTTATCCTTCGAGGTAGTTTCAATCTTCTCTTTGGTTGTCTCGCTCGTACTCCCTGTAACCTCCATCGTTCTATCCTTATCCTTCTTCTCAATTTCTTCGACTTTTCTTTCTTTATCATCATCATTATCATCCACGTTATAATCATTAACGACGCTCTCGATAACGGCCGATATGTTATCACTTCTACAACGATTACGTTGAATCGACTTAGCGTTCTTCAACAATTTGTTCCTCAAAACGGCCTTATTTCGTGACATCCTCGAGGCTGAGGAACTGTCGTTGCTCATATGTGGCCGCGATCTCGTTTGGACCTGTGCAAACAGTTGGGGTTCAACACTATAAACGCGCCTATCATCAATGATCATGGGGATACGATAAAGAATATTAGGACGTTTAGAAAGTATCACAATCGAATTATTGTCGCGAACAAATTTCTTTTTATTTACATCGACGCGAATAATGAAAAAAAGAATACTCTTATCTCTTCTTATATCTTTTTTCTTTTTCTTTTTCTTTTTCTTTTTCTTTCTTTTTTTTTTTTCTTTCTTTCTTTTCGTTTCATTAAAAATTACGACAATGCGATATAATCGATCGTATATTTTCGAAACGTCCTAAAACAAAGAAAAAACAAACGGAATAATCAAAATATTAATTCTTTATCTTTTTAACGTGTAATACGCATTGGAAAAAAATTAATAAAACTTAATTATATAAATATTTCAATGACGTAGAGACGCGTCTATATCTGAACTGTGAGAAGATGATAATAGAAAATTATCGATGTAACTATAACAATAATAATAATAATAATAATAATAAAAAGAAAAAAAAATTATGTACGAACAAAAGTAAATTTGTATAATAAAAAGGATAATAAAAATGTACTCAAACACCCAAAGGGCTATCGCGATCTTGCTGAACGAAGCATGAAAACTGTCTTGGCTGTAAGATTTACGTGATGGTAGGAACGCTCTCTCTCTCTCTTTCTCTCTCTCTCTCTCTCTGTCTCTTTCTGTTCTTCTTTCTCTCTCTTTCTATCTCTCTCCCTCATACATATTCACTATAGTATGTATATTGTATACACTTCTACGCGAGCAATTTCCGTAAAGCACACGCATACACGCGAAAGAGAAAGATAGAAAGAGAGAGAGAGAGAGAGAGAAAGAGCGAGAGCTAGAGAGAGAGAGAGATAGAGAGAGTGTTCGTGCAGCTTTCGCATGGACGAGTGTATGCGAGCTAATCAATACTCCACTTATATCCGTGTCATCCACTCCAACCAGCCGTTATGCGTTTCATCGTCTTATCATTATCAACTCGGTTGACTTTTTCGTGTCGGGCCACGAAGCTTTTAGGGTCACATAACGTTTATAATCTTTAACAGCAAGACTTTTCACGCAGTTGATTATAGAAATGAATCTTTTAGGATACAAAAGCAATGTATTATTATATTTGGCTTAATAATTAATCACTTTTCAAAAGATATTATTCCGTTCTATATGTAGAATCTTTAATTATTCCAATATTTTTCTAAGTGGGTCTTAAGATTAAAAAAATAAAAAAAAAAAAAGAACAAAAAAAAAAACAAAAAAAAAGAAAACAAAAAAAAAAGTATCACGCGCTATTAATAACGTATGAGTAAAGTAAAATTATTTTCTTTCTATTATTTTATGGATACTGATTAAAGAAGGAAAAGAAAAAAAAAGAAAAAAAAAAAAAAAAGTAAAAAATGGGAGAAAAAAAAGGAGAAAAATTTTCTTTCCCCAATTCTAACTCGATTATAACTTACCGTACGTAGTCTGCCTTGCGTTCTCAACGTGCTGTCCTGTAAAACTTTTCTGGTAGCCCTCTTGGGCGGCAGATTGGCCAACATTTTCTGAATGCTCTCACCTGAGGACAATATATAATCGTAACGTTCTCAAGAGATCGTTTTATTGAAAATCGTTTCGAGGTACTTTTAGAATGATTCTCGAACGACGTTTCAATTCGGAATAATTGTTTTATTGTTACTCAACTTTTTTTTTTCGAGGGCGGGGGGGGGGGGGAATAGGGAGGTTGAATCGAACCACTGAGATGTTTCTTTTTCTTTTTTTTTCTCTCTCTCTATTTTTTTTTTGTTTTTTTTTTGTTTTTTTTTTTTGTTGTTTAAGTTGCGAAGAAAAATTTGGATTAGAACGAGACGTAGTAGAGAAAAAAAAAATTATGTTAATATATTGCAAAACAGAATGGTTAAGACGGTGTCTAACTTAAAGAAGATTATCGATTTTTGTTCTTTTGTTTTCTTACGGTCGCTAGGTCGAACCCTAGGCCCAGCCGGTTGTTTCTCCCTTGGGACGTTCGTACGTGGTGTCTGAGAATTTTGAATATTTCTTTTCATTCCACGCTGACGTCGTCTTCTGCTACGACTTCCGAATGGACGCCACTTGCACTTCTTTTTCCCGTTACCAAAGAGACCCAAAAGCCAAGCCTGATCGCCGCCACATTCTAGCATATGTCTGTGCAACTCCGCAAGGGTACTACAGTTTTTCGAACACTTAGTGCAAATTTTCTCCGGCGCTATCGCGTTCTTAGCCTTAATCGTGGGCATACTACGTCCTGGTAAAAAGAGATGTTTGTAAAGTTCACGCTGATCGCCAGAAAATTCATAATGTGAACACCAAACATTTGGATGCATTGAAGATTTGTGATCTTCCATTTCCTTTAACGTCACCTAGAAACAAAATTGTATTTTTGAAATGTTTGTGATCCGATGAGATTGAAATCTGATATAAAAAAAAATCTGATAAAGGAAATAAAAAAAAAGAGAGAGAGAGAGAGAGAGAGACTCACGTGTCTCGCAGCACAGGCACCGCAGATATAAATCCTCGGTCTGGACCATTCGCCAGTGAGTTCGGCATAAATGACTTTCTGCATTTTCGGATTAACATGGCCCACTGCATCGTCCCACTTCTGTAGTCTCATGAAATTGCCGAACTCGAGACTAAATTCCGTAGTACCGGAGGATTGATCCACGGGCTGATCCATCCGAATAATTTCTTTATCTTGTCGATCGATCAAACCGATAGCTTTAAGACACGATGACTGATCAAGGCCATTATCATCTCGTAAAGACGCACAAGTATGATCGATTATCGACTCTTCGGTGTCTTTACTTTTTTCTTTACTCGTTTGTTCATTCGCAAGACTAGTTTGAACGATATCGTTATTCGTGATCGAGTTAACGAGGGATGGTATTTGATGTAACCTGTTCAATATTATACGTTCCTTCAACATTTGTTGCTTCTTTCTCAATGATAATTGCGTTGATATATCAAATTTACTAAGATCCTTAATCGAACAGGTCCATTGTTCTTTGCCGTCGTATTTCCTTGGAAAGTTATATTTCTCGAAGGAAACCCTTCGCGGATGAGACCTACTACTTTTTCCAGGTTTTTGAGCGTACTCACTCGAATTTTCGTATTCCTCAACGGCATAATCTTTATTGTAGACCGGCGTGGCTGCGGTTAACGATATATCGATCGGAAATTGGATTTGATTCGCGTTGTTGTGCTCGTAGAAGGATTGTTGCGGTTTTGATTCCGTCGGTGATGATGCCACCATAGTAGTAGTAGTAGTCGTCGTCATTGTCGTCGTCGTCGTCATCGTCGTCGTTATCATCGTTGTTGTCATTGTCGTCATTGTCGTCACCATTGTCGTCGTAGTTGTCGTCGTCGTCATAGACGAACTATTCGACGACGATGTGCTTGTTTGCAATTTTCCATCTAGATGATGAAGTAAATTCTCTCGAATGTTGCAACTCACGCTGCTGTAGAAGGAACTATCGAACTCCGGGCTACCGGGATTGCTGAAAACGTCCTTCGTAGTCGTCGGTACGACGTGCTTCAGCAAGCTAGTCTCCGATCGATATTCCGTTTCCGCGTCACACGGTCTTCTCTCTTTCGAGGGCGGAACGTCCGATTTTTCGTTGGAACTTTGGCAAACGACCTCCTTACACGACGGGGTCGGTTCCTTCATTTTTTCCTAAAAAGAAAATCGATTTTGCATATTGAAATGCAAAGTTCATTTCGGATGAACTAGATAACGATATTGGTATACGGATATCGTACTTAATCATTGAGAAATAAATTAATTTTCTTTTTTCTTTTTTTTTCTTTTTTTTTTTCTTTTTTCCTTTTTTTGATATTGTTTGTTTTACGAGTTTTCGTAACAATAGTAATCGAAATGAGTAATAGTTCTAAATACAAACAATTTCATGTCTTTAATTAGTTTTAAATATAATCAATCGATTTTATGTCTCTGAATTATTATTTCATTATTGCAACGATTATTATGATTAAATTAATTCTATAAATAGTAAGATTTTCTTTACTTTCTTCTTTTTTTTTTTAATTTACATAAAAATTCGACGAAAAAAAAATATATATATATATATATATACATGTAAAAAAAAAAGATACAATAAAATATGATTTACCTGAATTTGTGACGTTGTCCTTTCTCGAACGGAGGAAGCATGCGTTTCGGTTATGTGAACAAGCAATGCTTCCCTCGTTAAATACCTCGTCGAGCATTGAACGCAAGCGTGATATTTGTCGGAATGATTACCGGCCATATGATGAAAAAGGCCCTCCAAACTGTCCAAGCACTTGTCAGAACAATACTGACAATTTTGCGATGGCCTTCGAGAATTTCTTTCGGAACGACGACCACCGCCCAACTGATGAACCCTCTCGGTATGTCTCTGTCGTAAGGATATGGACAAGAACTTTCTGTCGCAATAAAGACAGAGGTGTCTCACCGTTGGCGAAGGTGGTTTCGATATTGATGGTTTAGCGACGATTTGATGTGACGACAACGAAGATGTCGAAGAGGAAGAAGGAGGAGAGGATGAGATGGAGGACGAGGATAAGGATAAGGAAGTTAAGGAAGAAGTAGAAGTAGTAGAAGAAGAAGAAGAAGAAGAAGAAAAAGGAGACTGCTGTGGAACCGTCAAAGTTTCAACAGCAACGGCAGCAGCAGCAGCAGCAGCAGCAGCAGCAGTAGCAGCAGTAGCAGCAGCAGCAGCAGCAGCAGCAGCGGCGGCGGCGGTAGCAGGTTGACAATTCTGCAAAACGGAAGCGATCCTTTCGAGAGGTAAACTGCAATGAAAACTCGTAGTTGAAAGTTCCTCAGCTACCTGAGAATCTCTTGGCTCGTCGAAGGTACCGACGAAAGTGCGAGCGACGTTGGCAATTTCCGTTGAATTAATCTTATCGACGCAATGATCGATACCGTTCAATAAATCGTTCAACAGCTCACGACAGGTATCACGTAGTTCGAGATTTTCCATAATTTCATCTACGCTGGTTGTATTTCTTCCTTCGACAATTTGATGATCCAACCTTTCCATAATGATCATACCAAGAGAACGAGTCTCCCTTTTATCATCCTCCGATTCAAATGATTCTTCCCGCAAATGACGATTATCATTTTCCAAATCTTTCGTGGAAGAACTATTCTCGTAAAATTCGTTCTTTTCGTGATCGAAGGAGGACAAGTTAAGACGAGATGACATAGAATGTCCCAATTCTATGATGTTTTTAGCCGCCGATTCGATAGCAGTCTCCGTTGGACTACTATCTGTCCAATCCATATCGGTGCTTCCGTATTCACAACGAACGTTATCAACCTCAAGATCGCTCTTCATTTTTTCGGTATGTCCCGAAGGTAAAACCGCAGCCTCGGTTCTACTTTCATTCGGTTTCGAGGGCTCAAATTTCGGTCCCTTCGAATCCTCGTATTCCTCTTCTTCTTCGTCCTTGGCCACTCCTCCCCCTCCTGCCCCTACTATTCCTATTCCTATTCCTCCTCCTCCTCCTCCACCACTACTGACAGCTGGCTTCTCCGTGTCTTTATTCTCGACCGTACGGTCGTCATCCTCCTCTTCCCCTTCCGCACCTTCCTCCTCTTCGTCCTTTATCACACCATTCAGCACGGTCATCACGTATTTCTCTAAAGTCTCGAGATTCCTCTCTACGCTATTTCTACCATCCTCTTCCTTTCGAATCGGTGAATCACTACAACCACTACCAACACCACCAATACCAACACCAACAACACCAACACCACCACCAACACAACCTCCAACGACACCAATACCACCGACATTACCACTCCTACTATCGGGCACTTTCTTTCTCAAATTGTTTATCACATTGCTAAGCCTACTCCTTTTGTCTTGTGCCGTTTGTGCTGATCTATAAACGTGAGCATGCTTCTCTTGAAGAACTTGTTGTTGCTGTTGTCTCTCGTTTCCACTAGCACTAGCCGGATGGCTTACGCCAAGATCCTCGAGGTTGTGCATCGAGGCCACCATCTTGCCGCTAGTCTCGTACTTCGTCCTTGTCGTTGTTGTAGTTGTTGTTTTTGTTGTTGTCGTTGTCGTCACCGTTGTTCTCGTAGTTCGTGCCTGATTTGCACCGCTCTGATTTGCTGCCAGGAAACGCTTCGACGAGTCGAAGATCACTCCTCCGCTCGATGCCTCGCTACCAGCACTGTCTGCCGATGCTGCTT